GGTTCCCAAACCTTTGGCGTCACTTGACACGTCATGAAAGCGGCGCGCCAAGCAGCTCCGCAGCTCCCGCCGCCAGCCACGACAACAACAACGGAGAAATAAAAGTGAAGATGGAAGACGAGGTGCGGGAGAAATTGAGGTCGGGAATTTACATGATTAAAAGAAAAAAAAGGTCAGGCTGCTAAATCTAATGTTTGTGAGCTGTTCTCAGAAGAAGTTGCAGCAGGAGACAACAGTATCGGCTATCTGAAGTGCAACTCGTGCTGGTCCCAGTCTAACTCCACCACTCTGAAACCACTACAGTCTTTATACAAACAGAAACTCAAAGTACTCGATAAGAAACCAAATCATTTTCATCACTGTGCCATTTTACTAAAATACAATATTTTAAGTGGGGAAAATCTAATTAAGTTTACAAATTCCTGTCAGGTTTACAAAATCTTACACAGGATGGCCCCACCACCCCTTAGTGATGTTGTCAATCTCAGAACAATCTCACATACTGTAGAATCACTAGAGTGTCCAGAGGTGACTGTATTACTCCACTTAGAAAAAGTGCTTTTTGTCAGTCCGTCTTCTCTTTTAGGGCTTCTCAACAATCAGAGACATCAACACATATAGCCTCTTTCGATCTCATCTATAACGTTGGCTCATTAGTAATCAGACCTGTCAGCACTGAAGCCCTGCTGCTGCCAGCTGGTGTTTCAGTTGTGAATGTGTCTTTTTTTCATAAACTGCATGTTTTTATGACCTTATCATCTTAATCTGCATCAAACAAATGTTGTAACCTGCTTTACTGACAGTGCATGCTACTTGCTGCTGCTGCCTGTGCGTATAACTATGCTGTTTAACACTTAACGCTACTCTGTAGCGGACAAACACAGCTGTACTACTACAGTACTTTTATAATTGTCCATTGTTTATAAGGTTTTATGCTTTCCTTATGTGACACTGTACAACTGGCAAACAGGACTACAGATGAAAACTAGCCCTTGGCTAATTCTGGCATGTTACAGGTGTACTGTTGTTAGTATGCACTGTCCTGGTAAATAAAAAAAAACAAAATAAAGAAATTCAGTAACTTCTCTTTGAATTTGGCAGATCTGGTGTCCATCCCACAACAATTCACCAATAAATACTGGGAATATTCACATCATTCTACAAGAGAAGCACAAACTCCAGGAGTAGCAGCTGAAATCTGTGTGACTGTTAAAGATGGAGTTTATTAAAGAGGAGATTGAAGACATGAGTCATCCAGAATAAAACATGAAGATACTGAGGAACAAACAGGTTGGTGTCCATTCTTGATTCTTCATTGCTTTGGTAGCTGTGAAATAAGCAGCATATGAGGGAAAAATTCTATAGAAATGCTTATATTATTTTTATTTTCATATTTTATGTACTTTTAATCATAATTTTGTAGGCTATAACAGTTGTCAAACACAATTTTGATCATATTAACAAGAGAATGATACTGAACTAAAACTAAACATTGGCACATTAAAGGTAAAGGTAAAACTAATTTTATGTTTATGTTAGATCGGATGGAAGTGAAAGAGCAAATACAACAAATGGAGAAAATTAAGGAGGAACATCATGACTTTAAAATTCAAGAAACAAAAGCCAAAATGCTGCACACCTGCACTCAGTGTGGAAAGAGTTTCAGTCAAAAAGGAAACTTTAACACACACATGAGAATTCACACTGGAGAGAAACCGTATCCATGCACTGAGTGTGGAAAGAGTTTCAGAGATGCATCAGCTTTCCGTGTTCATCTGCTCCGTCACTCTGGAGAAAAACCATTTAACTGTGATCAGTGTGGTAAAGATTTTCATTCGTCGTCAAATCTATACAAACACCTGAAAGTTCATTCAGATGAGAAGCCTTATGTGTGTTTTTCTGTGGAAAGAGTTTTTCAAGACTGGATCATTTTAAACTGCATCAGAAAACACACAATGAAGTGAAAGATTATATGTGTTTTGACTGTGGGAAGAGCTTTACTCAAGCTGGGCATCTGAAACAGCACCAAAGAATTCATACTGGAGAAAAACCTTACAAGTGCTCATATTGTGACAAGAGTTTCACTCATTCTGGATCTCTGAAATCACACGAGCGACTTCATACTGGAGAAAAGCCGTACAACTGTACTCAGTGTGAGAAGAGCTTTAGACGTTTATCAAGCCTTCAAACTCATATGAAAAAATGTTTGAAGTGAACAACATTAGTTTTCATGTCAAATACAATAAAGTAAACTGAGATGAAATATGGAGTTTTTCATAAAAGAAAATCACTATATCATCTAGATTAAATTTGTTAATGTGGTGAAAAGCTTGGTTAACTAGAAAGATTTAAAGGGTTAGTTCAGCCAAAAATGAATTCTGCCATGAATTACTCACTCATGATGTTCCTAACCTTTCATCAGATCATGTGTGTTGTGACTGTGGGAAGAGCTTTACTGCAGCTGCCTGTCTGAAACTGCACCAAAGAATTCATACTGGAGAAAAACCTTACAAGTAATCATTTTGTGACAAGAGTTTCTCTCGGTTGGGACACCTGAAATCACACGAGCGAGTTCATACTGGAGAAAAACCTTACAAGTGCTCATATTGTGACAATAGTTTCAGTCGGTTGGAAACACTGAAAACACATGAGCGAGTTCATACTGGAGAGAAGCCGTACCACTGTACTCAGTGTGAGAAGAGTTTTATTTCATCATCAAATCTAAAGAAACACCTAAAAGTTCATTCAGATGAGAAGCCTTATGTGTGTTCTCAATGTGGAAAGAGTTTTTCACGGAGCATCAGTTTTAAACCGCACCAATTTAGAAGAAGAATGTCATTATTATTATTTGTATTATTATTATTATTTAAAAGAAGAAGAATGTTTTTTTTATTATTTTGTCAGTCTGAATTATTTTTTGGTCATTGAAAGCCTTTCGTTACCGAACCCAGTCCGTGCGCACCTGCCGGGCCTAACCATGAAACGTCAGGGTAAAGCGCACAGGCTCGCAACTGAAGGAATACATATGCTTATAAATCAAATGCTTTGGTAAAGTCACACAAATTAAACATTGAAGTCCATGTTGCACAAAAATAAACACTGAAGTTTATAATTACTGTTGTTGTTGTTGTTGGTCATATATCAATATATCATATCTTTTAGTTATGTCAGTTTGAGCAGTTGATCAGTTAGTTTGTCAGTGCGTTTTGTGGTGTTAGGAATTGTTTTTCTGCGCATTTCCGCACTAACTCAAAACGTGCGTACATGTACACCACCTCCTGAGCTGGCGTAGGATTTGAGCGTGCCGTACGCCAACGTTCATATTGATAAATCTCAAAGTCACCGTGGTTTTGGGTGTACGCCGGGTGTACGCTGGAAATTTGGTGTACGCACTTTTGATAAATGAGGGCCATTGTCCACAACGGGAGAGGACATGGCGCGACTACATGTGATACAGAATAGCATGAAATACCCTTTTATTAGAGAACTGCAGAACACAGTGTAAAAAGGAAATATTTTCCTTAATGTACATATATCATAAAATGTCAAAGTCTGCAAATACAGTCATGAAGCACAATTGCTACTCATCATCGGTCCTAAATACGGTGTTCATTACAAAACCGTCAAGAAGCATGTGTTCACAATAACATTTTAAATAAATAAAAGAATGATTTAAACTGTTTTTCTTCTGATATAAACATTTAGATTAAATATGCCATTCTCATTAATGGAGTTTCACTTAAACTAGCTACATGAAATCATTACTGAGAAGTTACAAAAAATATATATTCAATAAATAGAAATTGACCTATTTGTTGTGGATGCAATGCTTTTGAACACCTTTCTCTCTGCCATGCTGTGTTTTAATGTTTTAACTGATAGCTAATAGCAGATTGTCTGAGGAAATTGTTTCGTGCAAATAATGCACAACGAGGTCTATCTGTTTCCATTAAAAATATGAATCAATTAAAAATACTATTTGGCCAGTGGAAAAGATTGAGAAAAACTTTCTCTGAAATGTATTTTACACTATTTGATTTATTCATTCAAAAACAAGGCAAGGATATAAGCTACTAAAAAAAATCATGAATGTAATAATGTGACACCTGGATGAATAATCATATGCAAATGACATGCAGATGAGGATATGCATAGTAAAACTAGGCGTTGTAAGCTCCATATATGGTTGTTTCGGGGAGGAGACGCGCGTGCGCACAATCTTCCGCTGACTGGGATTTATAAAGTGAATTCTGCGCAGGTTCTGGCGTACGAACGGTTTTATAAATCTGAAAACTTTTGTGCGTACGCAAATTCTGCCTTATGTGCGTACGCACACTTTAAGGATGAAATCTACGCAAAGTTTTATACATGAGGCCCCAGTTCTACTCATGTGGATGAATCGTGTTTGTGCCGAAGATACCGTATCAATTGAACAGAACTTGTGTGACGCAGAAACTCTTACAGAAGTCAAAACAGTCGTTTTTGATCCATTAATGCATCTCTGTATGCGATCTCACTGTTTGAAGCGCCTGTCAATGAACGCGTGGTGCCGTGAAAAATTAAGCGAGGGGTCTTCTCATAGGAAAAGGATATGCAGTCTCATGAATAATTATGAGACACCGATGAGTCATCGCTGTACTATAGTACAAGAAAAAAACCTCACATCCTGTGGCATTGGCACAAAGACAAATTTAAATTCGTTAGAACTTTGTAAATAGCAAATAAAGGTTTACAATTAACTAGTTTTGTCCAACAATCAAAACTAATGGATGGCAACATTGACTTCTATGATGTTCAACCCTCATAACTCTGTTAAAATCTCAGAAAATTAGGTTTAGGGTTTCATGACCCTTTTTAACAGTGCGGAGATATGGTTTACTTAAGAATGTGCGGCCCCTTTAAGAAGAACGACGCTGTGCGCATTGAGGATGCGCAGAGGAGAGAAACGCGAGAGACGAGCTTTTACGGTCTATGGAGACTAGTGCTTAAAAACCACTGTTGTTGTGACTCTGGCTAAAACTTTCAACAGTTGAAGCTGAAAGTGTTCCCAATGCGAGGATTTTGTCGCCATATTTATCGTCTTTCTCATTGCTGTTGCGACTTTTATGAACGTTTTGTAAGGAGCTATTTTGGCAAGACCTAAACGTAAAATAAAAAGTAGGGATTTTTTATTAGGGGCAGTTTTTTCAGTATTTTACATAGACCTACACATAGTCGAATAAACACACAAGGATTTTGCTGTGTGGAGAAAACCAACAGTAAGTAGTAGAGAAATTGTGTCAGTTTGCATGTTAGTGTCTTTGTTTCCCAAGCGACGGAGTGTGAGATCATGCGCTGTAAACCGAGTGTCGAGCTCAAGTTAGCTCGTTAAACGCAAATATATGGCTGCTGAATAGGAAAAAAGTTATCAGTCTTATGCAGGTTGTACCTAATGATGAATATATAGCGAATAAATAGCGAAAAGCATTTTCATTTGCTCCGTCTTGCTAAAGGGCAAAAGACCCATCAATTCTTGGTACCTCCAGACATCTCCAGAAGCCGATATAGCATTGGTTTCTAATTTGAATAATCTATTAATATGATATTTCATACATAAGAGCTTAGTAGACATGATATTGTAAAACAATATTAGACGAATCATTATTTAATAATTATAATGTTGATTTATAAATTCATATGTGTATGGGTTTAAACATAATATAACGTTAATCATTGCCATATACAATTTGTGACGTTTTACAAAGGAGTTTAAAAAAAGAGTTGATAAACAGAGTGACTAGAACAGGGGTTCTTTAGAAATAAACAAAACAATCAAATGTAAAATAATATAAAATAAAATGTGTTCGGTTGCAAGTTCACATAGCTTATGTTTTATTGTTGAGCTCAAGCTCAGTTCAAACCTTATTCTTTATAAACTGTCATTAGGGGAAGATGAATGGGACGTGGGTGTCCCTTATTTTCCTACACTGAAGGTGGCAACCTTAATGCTATATGACCATGAGCAGGGAATTTTGTAACATTAGCCTAAGTAACAATTTTTTAGACTTGTTTGTACTTTGTTTTCATATTTAGCAACTTTTTGTGAAAAAATTATCATGGATTGTGGCACATTTTCGCCACATATTTCAAGTCTACAGATGAGAGATGTTTACAGATTACAGAGTTTAACATTAACCAGCTCCAGAGTTTACATGTTTTAGTACTAATGTGATGAAATGTGTAGTGTGTCCTGGTTTATCACTAATTATAGTGTAATAATATTTTGGCAGAGAGTTTTTCACTGACCATGTTTCAGCTTGTTGACACCAATAAAATGTGCTTAATGTTCCACTTTACAGAAGATCTCAGACATCACAATAATGAATAAGGTGAAAACAGGGAAAACAAGTATTAAAACTGTAAATTCAGTAATTTCTTTTTTAATTTAACAGATCTGGTGTCCATCCCACAGCAATTCACCAATAAATACTGTGAATTTTCCCATCATCCTACAAGAGAAGGACAAACTCCAGGAGTAGCAGCTGAAATCTGTGTGACTGTTAAAGATGGAGTTTATTAAAGAGGAGATTGAAGACATGAGTGATCCAGAACCATCCAGAATAAAACATGAAGATACTGAGGAACAAATAGGTTGGTGGCCATTCTTGATTCTTCATTAGCTACGTTTACATGGACACCTTTTGTTTCAGTCGGAATTAATTCTGATTTATGAATCCGAACGTTGTGTTAACATGAACACTAAATAAAGTGATTGGGTTGATGTGCATGTTTATATGCCACAAGCTTCAAATCGGAGTTGATTTTTATAACATGTGCATTATGCACGCAGATTTTCCCGCTGTTTGCGCATACTATTCTCCTAAATTGCTTCTTGTTTTAAAGAGCAGACTTAATATTTATCTATATCGGGTCCTGATTAGGAGACGACGAGCACATTAAGCTTTGTGCCGTGCTGCTTGTAATAATCAAGCTGTAAAAACGCCTCTTCCCGTGCCCAAAACAAGCCGTCTGTGGAGGAGAGTCCGAAACAAGGGCTGGTGGGACGTTGTCCTGCTCCTCTTCACAGACGATAAGTGGGAGAACATTTTTAGAATGACATGACAGTCATTTATGACATTTCATTCAACAACAACAACAGCCCGTTTCTCGTGTCATATGTCATTACGCCAATCCTTCGTCATTGCACATGCGAAGTACTTTCCGGTTTCGGTTTTCAATCCGATCAAGTGTTTACATGTCCTCTCGATCGGATTAGAAAAGGTTTAAACCAGCCCTTCCAATCCGAATGAAATTTTAATCGGATTTGGCCAGTTCATTCCGACTGACGTGGTTACATATGACTGTGCTAGAAGTCCGATTACAATCAGATTATTAGGGTCCATGTAAACGCAGCTACTGTTGAATGCTTTAGTAGCTATGAAATAATAAGCAGTATATGGATGATAAATGATACAGGAATACATCTAAATCATAACCTTGTTTCTAGCATTTTTCATCAACATTTTAATCATATTAATAAGTGAATGACAGAACTGAACTTTTTCAAATCAAAGGTCTGAAATTGGATACTAACAGTTATCTGGGGGTTATTCCAGAAAGCAAGGTACCGTTAAACATACCCTGAACTCTCGGTTGATTAACCCAAACTTTGCTTACTCGAAGTATGCTGGTTATAAAAATGCGTCCGGGAGTAAGTTCAGCCAATCTAGAGTATGTTCAGGGTTAACACACAAGACAATCTCAACAGAGCGACGAATTGATGAGTCACCATGAAACAGACGCTAAGAAAAAGCATGCCATAATACTTATACAAATGTATTATACATGATACAAATTATATATATATATATATATATATTAATAAACATTACCTTGAATTAAATAAGCATTACCTTGTTTTAATAGTGCTTTATCGATGTAACTACAGTTAGTCGCACCAGCAGGAAAAATGGTCGCAAAATGTCCACTGAGCCTCATCAATAGGGCACACATGCGCAGAAAACCTCTGTAGCAACTAACCCTGGAAGTTTTTTGCTCCGTTTTTGAAACTGAAAGTTTAAAGGTTATCCGCTTACCGTATTTCCCGGACTATAAGTCGCTCAGGAGTATAAGTCGCATCAGTCAAAAAATGCGTCATGAAGAGGAAAAAAACATATATAAGTCGCATTTATTTATTTGTTGGTCAAGCACCCATCTGTGGACTCATTCCTCCAGCTCTGGCCATCTTGCTTTCAGCCCGCCATTACCTTTCTTTGTTTTCTTCATTACAGTTAAGGGGGTCGCACACCGGACGAGAAGCGCAGCGCAACTCGAGGTATCGCACACCGGACGCGCACTTTCTCCGTTTATGGCCAGCAATATTGTTATGTTTAAGGACATTATGGAATTAAGATAATGTCTGTGCTATGTTATGATTGTACTGTACAATTAAATACAGTCATTGCTGAGTCTGAACACTTTACCTCAGAGCGTCCGTTAACTGAATGAATTCCTGTAAATGAATGTAAAACTAAATGTATATTGCAGCACAGGGTGAAGTCAGTATACGTTACCGACGATTTGAGACAAATAAATGTAAATTTAATATAAAACGATGTAAATGGCGCTCTGTGGCATTTTGAACAGCGTCCTAAACCGTTGCTGGGCGCCGCGAACAGACGCCGAATGGCGCTGCTGGTGTGTGTACACTCATAGAGAATAACGTGTTCGAATTTTAAAGATGTGGCGCTGCGCTTCTCGTCCGGTGTGCGACCCCCTTTAGAGTAACCTCTGCTTTTCGCCAGTCCCCCCACAAGTTTCTCACTCACTCCAAACTTTCTTTCTGCTGCTCGATTACCGTTTTCGCCTGCATATTTTACTACCTGCAGGTTGTAATCTGTAGAATAGGATCTTCTTTTTGGGGGCATTTAGTTTGTGTTCAGTCTTTCTCAGTTGTCTTTAAGTTAATGTTTCAGTTAATAGTTTTTCTGTTTTCAGTCGTTTTCAGTTAATTTTTTCGGGGTTAGGCTACAGGAGCAGCATAGAGCGTCCTCTCGCGGCTGTAGACGGTAATGTTTTCTCTTGGTTCATGTCAGTCAGTATGAATTAATTTTGATATATATGTCGCAGGACCAGCCAAACTATGAAAAAAAGTGTGACTTATAGTCCGGAAAATACGATACTTACCCCCCCCCCCATAACCTGCTTTCTGGAATACACCCCTGATCTCTTGTTGTCTTTGCGTTAGAAATGTTAACTTGACTTTTCACATTTATTCTCCTTGAACTGACCTAATATTTACTTACTTAATATGTTTATTTTAGACCAGATTGAGGTGATGGAGCAAAAACACAAACTGAATGAAGTTGAGGAGAAACATAACTTCAAAACTCAAGGAACAAAAGCCAAAAAGCTGCACTCCTGCTCTCAGTGTGGAAAGAGTTTCCAAAATCAACGAAACCTTAACAGACACATGATAATTCACACTGGAGAGAAACCGTATACATGCACTCAGTGTGGAAAGTGTTTTTCTCAAGCATCAGGTCTCAGTGTTCATCTGCGCATTCACTCTGGAGAAAAACCATATAACTGCGATCAGTGTGGTAAAGGTTTTAATTCGTCTTCAAATCTAAAAAAACACCTGAAAATTCATTCAGACGAGAAGCCTTATGTGTGCTCAATTTGTGGAAAGAGTTTTTCACGGCCTGACGGTTTTAAAGAGCACCAGAAAACACATAGTGAAGTGAGAAATCATGTGTGTTGTGACTGTGGGAAGAGCTTTACTACATCTGGTCATCTGAAACAGCACAAAAAAATTCATACTGGAGAAAAACCTTACAAGTGCTCATATTGTGACAAGAGATTCACTGTGTCTGGAAACCTGAAAACGCATGAGCGAGTTCATACTGGAGAGAAGCCGTACCACTGTATTCAGTGTGGAAAGCGTTTCAAAGAGGCAACAGGTTTAAAAATTCATCTGCGCATTCACTCTGGAGAAAAACCATTTAACTGTGATCAGTGTGGTACAAAGTTCATTTCGTCATCACATCTAAAAAAACACCTGAAAGTTCATTCAGATGAGAGGCCTTATTTGTGTTCTTTGTGTGGAAAGAGTTATTCAAGGCTGGATCATTTTAAATTGCACCAGAAAACACATAATGAAGTGAAAGATCATTTATGTTGTGAGTGTGGGAAGAGCTTTACTGCAGCTGACAATCTGAAACAGCACCAAAGAATTCATACTGGAGAAAAACCTTTCAAGTGCTCATATTGTGACAAGAGTTTCACACTGTCTGGAAACCTGAAATCACACATACGACTTCATACTGGAGAGAAGCCGTACCACTGTACTCGGTGTGAGAAGAGTTTTAGACATTTATCAAGCCTTCACGCTCATAAGAAAAATGGTTGCAAGTAACAAAATTAAATTCTGTGAGATAAAATATGGAGTTTGTCCTAAAAGCACTGTATAATCTAGATTAAAGGTAGGCATTTTTTTATAAACACTTTTATTTATACTTGTTGAAACTCTCTTTACATCCTGATAGGAATCAATAATAGAAGTGGTCTAAATATTAAAACATGTACATACACTATATTGCCAAAAGTTTTGGGAAGTTTTCTGCCTTTACATGCACATGAACTTTAATGATATCCCATTCTTAATCTGTAGGGTTTAATATGGAGTTGGCCCGTCCTTTGCAGCTCTAACAGCTTTAAATCTTCTGAGAAGGCTTTCCACAAGGTTTAAGAGTGTGTTTATGGGAATTTTTGACCATTCTTCTAGAAGCGCATTTGTGAGGTCAGGCACTGATGTTGGACGAGAAGGCCTGGCTCGCACTCTCCGATCTAATTCATCCCAAATGAATCAATCGGGTTGAGGTCAGGACTCTGCAGGCCAGTCAAGTTCCTCCACACCAAACTCACTCATCCATGTCTTTATGGACCTTGCTTTGTGCACTGGTGCGCAGTCAGGAACAGGAAGAGGCCATCCCCAAACTGTTCCCACAAAGTTGGGAGCATGAAATTGTCCAAAATGCCTTGGTATGCTGAAGCATTAAGAGTTCTGTTCACTGGAATTAAGGGGTCAAGCCCAACCCCTGAAAAACAACCCCACACCATAATCCCCCCTCCGGCAAACTCTACACTTGGCACATTGCAGTCAGGCAAGCACCGTTCTCCAGGCAACCACCGAACTCAGACTAGTCCATCGGATTGCCAGACAGAAGCGTGATTCGTCGCTTCAGAGAACATGTCTCCACTGCTCTAGATTCCAGTGGCGGTGTGCTTTACACCACTGCATCCGACACAATGCATTGCACTTGGTTATGTAAGGCTTGGATGAAGCTGCTCGGACATGGAAACCCATTCCATGAAGCTCTCTACGCACTGTTCTTGAGCTAATATGAAGGCCACACAATGTTTGGAGGTCTGTAGCTATTGACTCTGCAGAAAGTTGGCGACTTCTGCGCACTGTGTGCCTCAACATGCGTTGACCCCACTCTGTGATTCTTTCGCAAATGTTTGTAGAAGCATCTGCATGTCTAGATGCTTGATTTTATACAACTGTGGCCATGGAAGTGATTGGAACAACTGAGGGATGTCCCAATACTTTTGGCAATATAGTGTATATCTTCTGTGGAAGTCTCAGGGCCAAAAAATTTTCATTCCAGTCAGTGCATTCGATCCGAATATTATGATATGCTATCTGCCTGTCAACATATGTATTTCCAAACCTCCGCGCATCTGCTCGCGCAGACATCACATGTCATTAGCTCGTTCCTTAAGCCTATGCGGAGTTGTAGACAGACGTCAGTCACCGAGCGCCGCAAACAAACAGCAGCTGCCTTTTACAGTTCCTCTTGAACCAAAACAAAGAGATTATGCTGCGTTTACTCCATGTGGTAGCCGTAATTACAAGATGGCAATCCGCGACTTTCTATCCGAACGCTTTGGAGACACTCTGAAGGGAGGGTGGGATCTCATTCTTTCAAAGTGCTATTGCTAGTCTCTCAGAAATTGCCTACCCTACTTTTATTTTGTGAATTTAGTGAAAATCTTGGAGAACAGAAACAACATTTTGTCTGTCACATTTCTGGCTGTCCACTGGCCTTCCTGTGACAATCTTGTCAAATCGATCCCCGTTTACATGGATCTGCGAAAATGACTAAAAAGGCTGTATTATGCATGCCAGGCCAGTAGTTGGAGGTTGTCACTCTGTCAAGGAACGCCCTGCGAACCCATAATACGTATTTGCATGATGTCCCTGGATTCACAAATTCACGTTTTTGTTGTTTACATGGAGGCATCGTTTTCAAAACCGTGCACTTTGAAACACATTTTGAAAAGTTTTCGTTTTCAGGCCCCCAATATTCCGTTGTTGTTTAAATGATCGACCAAAATGCATAAAACGTTTTCCATTTTCAGTTGAAAACAGTGTCGTGTAAACATTGTTGTGTCTTGTCTTCTATTTTCTGTGTTTCTGGGTTGGTGTTTGATTGTACTAATTGTTCAGCTTACAGGCTGATTCTCTTCACCTGTTACTTATTACCTGCACCCTATATGTACTCCTCTGTTTGTCTTGGCTTTTGTCAGATTGTTCATGTGGTCCTGGTTTGTTACGTCTCTCTCTGCCAGGTTGATGTTCTGTTGCCAAGCTTTTTCTAGTTTTTGTTTCTCAGTAAAGCTGCATTCACACTAACAGCGACAAAGCGACATGATACCATTCATTTCGATGGAGAGTGGCTGATTTCCAGCGACACGACCGACAGTGACTGTTAGCAACCAGATGGGGCGTGTCCAGCGACTCGACACAGTTGAGATATGTTCAACTTTTATGCAAATGAAGAGCGACTTTCGGGAGCAACAACCAATGAGAGTGAAGTCAATAAGCGCACGTGATCCGTCACTCTTCAGTGCCGAGTCTGACCGAGGCAAGATGAATGATAAGCTCATTTTAGCAGTCAGAAACTGTCACATAATTGAGGATATGTCTCCGTGTACATACGGTGGTACTCGCCGTGCTGACTTCATGCCTGAATGGTTTCGTGAACTCGGATAGATTGCTGCAGTTAAATAGCCGTGATGGCAAAGAGCACTCGCTGTTTCTCATTAATCTTTAATATTATGCATTTTATGTACTGATTCCATTTAAATTTAGAATTTTTCTTCCAAAATGTTTGTTTGTAGCGGCAAGAGTCTACAACATGGAGTAACATCTGTGAATGTCACTCACAAACATTACTAGGCAACAGTAGTGGGAACGCCCACTATAGCGACCTCACCGCCTGCCACTGGCGACATACAGCGACAAAGTCTGCTTGCTTATGCAAATGCAGCTTAAGAGTTTTTTCTTTTGGACTGTTTTTGAATTTTTAGTGGACTCTGACTCCGGCACCTTTCTCCAAATTCCATCATTTAATTCTCCAGCCCAGGTTATTTCCAGCTCTTGTTTTTCCTCAGCTGCATATCAACTGGAGTTGATTTATTTCTGTTGAACAGATTTATCTCTATAGACATTTAATAAACTGTTAATTCAATTCCCTCTGCATTCGAGTCTATTTTTCCTACAGTTGTGTGACATTGTCTCAAGTGATTGATCTATTTATTGAACACAGAAAATGTTTTTAATCATATTAATGAGTTTAAACATTCTATCTTAATACTGTGATTAATATCTTTGGGATGTAGAGTATTATTGTAAAATCAACCCACATTTCAAAATTAGAGGACTCAGATTAAAAAGTATGTAATCATACAAAGAGGTTGGAGTTATTTTTTATCCTTTGTTATTGAATGCTTAGGAACAATAAAGTACTAAAGTTCAGTTCACCAGACTTTTTTTGTGAAAAAAAAATAAACAATAAACAAGCTGTTGATCATTTGCATTATTTACTATGGTTTTAAAGATCCTGCTGCACTAATTTGTAAGCTTGGGGGGAAAATAGGATTTACAGGACAACCGAATTTCAAAACTGGAGAAACATAATTATAATGGTGTTTAAAAATCACTTGTATTTTGTTACTGAACGAGAAATAGAACAGCTGAAATTAAATGTTATCTTTAGACTCTGTATGATAAAAAAAAAGAGTTCACTGACTTTGTGTGATTTCAAGTAATGCGTTTGTCCATTATTACAGTATTTTAGTTAAATGTTTTAATCTGTTCTTATAGTCCTTAGTCAGGTTTAACGAGGCTCTGAGGGATAAATGTAGTCTTTACAACTGCGCGCACTGATCAAAAGTCCTAGAAAGATCATGTAATTTTCATAACTCACAACTTTACCAGGGTAACGGCAGCATTTCTGCTTTTCCCAAAAGCGCCATCTATTGTCAGAGAGTGAATGTGCGTTTTCATTCAGCGTGTTGAGCTTGTTTACATCCGAGTGCGCATGTCTCTTTGACGGAGCACATGCGCAGTGTTGTACATGGAAAGGTAATAAAATACGAAATAATACGTAATAAGGTATTATTTATAGTATTTTTAAGTTCCCACGATGACAATACTCGCTCACTTCTGTTCTGGTTAGAACTACGTTATTCCTCTTTTTCCATCGCGATTGCTCTACACTCCAATAGGTGGCGCAAATGCGCCTAAAAGCGGTTTTCAACTGACTAGAAAACGTAAAAGAAGATGATCGTCCTGAGATGAAATAACGGGAGAAGTCCAAGAGCAAACAGTTTAAATCTGTGTGCCGTACTTTGTTAAAGATGGAGTTTATTAAAGAGGAGATTGAAGACATGAGTGATCCAGAACCATCCAGAATAAAACATGAAGTTACTGAGAAACAAATAGGTTGGTGTTTATTCTTGCTAGTTGACTGCAAAGCTTTTGTTTACCAGATTTGGTGGATGTGAAATAATGAGCTGATAAAAGATACAGAAATGAATCTAATTGACCATAACCTTGTATAACAGTTGTCAAGCACATTTTGATTGTATTAACAAGAGAATGACAGAACTAACATTTGGCACCTCAAAGATCTGATACTTGATACTCTGTTGCTTTCTTCTGTTGAATCAGAGTTCACTTAAACTGATTTTAACCACAAAATGTTTTTATTTTAGACTGGATGGAAGTAAATCAGCAAAGACACGAACTCATTAAAGCAGAGGAGGAACAGCAGAGCATCGAAACTCAGCACACCTGCATTCAGTGTGGAAAGCGTTTCAGACAAAGAGGAAACCTTAACAAACACATGAGAATTCACACTGGAGAGAAACCGTATCCATGCACTCAGTGTGGAAAGAGTTTCATATGTAAATCTGAACTCAAGTATCATCTGCTCCGACACTCTGGGGAAAAGCCATTCAACTGTGATCAGTGTGATAGAAAGTTTATTTTATCATCACATCTAAAACAACACCTGAAAGTTCATTCAGATGTTAAGCCTCACTTGTGTTCTTTCTGTGGAAAGAGTTTTTTAAGGCTGGATCATTGTAAAAAGCACCAGAAAACACACAATAATGTAAGAGATCATGTGTGTTGTGATTGTGGGAAGAGCTTTACTAAAGTGGAAAATCTGAAACAGCACCAACGAATTCATACTGGAGAAAAACCTTACAAGTGCTCATATTGTGACAAGAGTTTCACGCTGTCTGGAACCATGAAAATACACGAGCGACTTCATACTGGAGAGAAGCCGTATCACTGTACTCAGTGTGAGAAGAGTTTCATAAGTGCCAAAGCTCTCGGTTATCATCTGTACATTCACACTGGAGAGAAACCATTTAACTGTGATCAGTGTGGTAAAAAGTTTAAAACGTTATCAAATTTAAAACTACACCTGATAGTTCATTCAGATGAGAAGCCTCATGTGTGTTCTTTCTGTGGAAAGAGTTTTTCACGACTGATCACTTGTAAACGTCACCAGAAAATGCACAATGAAGTGAAAGATCATGTGTGTTGTGACTGTGGGAAGAGCTTTATTACAGATGGTCATCTAAAACTGCACCAAAGAATTCATACTGGAGAAAATCCTTACAAGTGCTCATACTGTGACAAGAGTTTCACTCAGGCGGGAAACCTGAAATTACACGAGCGACTTCATACTGGAGAGAAGCCGTACCACTGCACTCAGTGTGGAGAGAGTTTTAAAAGTAAAACTAATCTCAAGCATCATCATCTGCACCATCACTCTGGAGAAAAGCCATTTAGCTGTGATCAGTGTGGTAAAGACTTTAAATTAACGTCAAATCTGAAAAAACACCTGAAAAATCATACAAACGAGAAGCCTTATGCATGTTCATTTTGTGGAGAGGTTTTTACACGACCGGATCATTGTAAACGACACCAGAAAAAACACACTGGTGAGAGAAATCATGTGTGTTGTGACTGTGGGAAGAGCTTTACTAGAGCTGAGCATCTGAAACAACACCAAAGAACTCATACTGGAGAAAAACCTTACAAGTGCTCATATTGTGACAAGAGATTCACTCATTCTGGAAACCTGAAACAACACGAGCAACTTCATACTGGAAAGAAGCCGTACCACTGTAATCAGGAGAGTGTTTCACCCAATCAAAAACTCTAATGATTCATATTAAAAATCATTGTCATGTGTCACACTGAGCAAATGTTATTCTCAGATCTAATGTGTGCAAGAATTTTTTTTTTTTTCTGTGCTCAAAATAAAGAAAATGCTTTCAGATCACTACATAGACGCTACATAAAAAAAGTATAGTTATAAAAAAAGTATAGTAATAAAAACTTACATTAGTAAGGTGAATAAATTATATACTGTATGCACTGCAAGTATAGCATTGCACTGAATATTGTATAGTAGTCTGTATATTCAGCACTTGCATACTGTGAAAAAACAGTGACCCAACTGCAAAAAGCCAAACTGGTTACAGTAAAAAACTAACAGTTACACTCAGAAGAGTCGTGCAACTGCAAAATCAAAGTCAGTGAGAGATTGATTCTGCTTCTGCATCACGTCTTCATGTTGAGTCCGGCCGGAGGAGTTTCTCCTCATCACACACACACTGTTATCTGCAGGCGAAGAGAAAAACCCTGAAGCAGATCCAGCCTCGACAACACTGTCCACACCTGCTCTTCCTCGTCCTCTTCCTCCTCTCACTCTTACACACACACTCTCTTCCTCCTCTTACACACACACACACACACTGTTATCTGCAGGCCAAGAGAAAAACCCTGAAGCAGATCCAGCCTCGACAACACTGTCCACACCTGCTCTTCCTCGTCCTCTTCCTCCTCTCACTCTTACACACACACACACTCTTCCTCCTCTTACACACACACACACACTGTTATCTGCAGGCCAAGAGAAAAACCCTGAAGCAGATCCAGCCTCGACAACACTGTCCACACCTGCTCTTCCTCGTCCTCTTCCTCCTCTCACTCTTATATTGCTTCCATCCATTGCTGGTATGAACTGACTTTTATTATGTACAGTTGGTTTGGTCACATCATTAGAAATAAGTGTGAACAATCGTACAAGTCGTTGTGTGTAAACGATGACAACTGTGTTGTAGTTAAATGAGTGCTAAGTGCTAAATGAGTTTTAGTGAGTGAGAATGTGTTTAGAGTTTTGCAAAAAAGAGTGCAACTACCTGAACTTGTGTTTTACAGAAATAGTGATTTAGTTGACAAATTGGTTTGGGCTGTTGAGAATTTGGTTCAGAGGAATGGGATTTAGTGTTTTGGCAAATCCTCCTAACTAGAGCTTTCATGTGAGATTCCGATCAAATAAATGTATAGAAATGCCACATGATTTTGATTTTTAATTCTTTGTTTGAAATGTAAAATTGGAGACCGGAAACAAATGTAACAAAAACCTACAATCAGTCATTTGTCATTGGTGAATGCAAAAGTGTGTGTATTCAAATGTATTCTTTTGGTTAATGTCTTTTATTTTATTTTATTTTATTTATTTTTTTATGAATCTTATTAATATTTTCTTTATGAATTCTATAGCTATGTATTCATTTAATCATCATTAAATCATAATTATGACATAATGGATAAGTCTGTTTGGCCTTTTCTTATCAGACCAAAACACAAGTTTAGGGGGATGTATATATAGCTCTTATTTTGTACTTCTGCTGCTTATCTTCACAATCATCTGATATTTTTATATGTTAGTCCATATTTAAGACAAAAACATTCACATTAAATAGCTATTTCACTATCTTTCTTTATGTATGATTACTGTGAGTAATGTGTTAGTTCATTAGCATTTTAGTCAAATGTTTTACCTACCTTAAAATAGATTTAAATATTGTTTACAGTGACCAGGCTTTAATTCATAATTAATTCATGATGTTCTTGACTTCTTCGTGCACTTTCATCAGGTTTATTAACAAATTAACAGTGTAGGCCTAATAGAAAAAGCAACCGAAGTCTTGTGTCTATTTCATTTGATCTTTCATTCTGTAATGTTACCGTCACATATGACTGACAATCGCTATTCAAAGTTGAGATGGTTTCAGAAATCAATAATTCAGCGCCTATTGGAGGAAGTCGAGCGAATAACACATGCGACACCAGCAGGCGCGGTACGGTAGATGTTTACGACAGTAAGGTCCGGGTATCGTTCGTTCATTTGTTTTTGCTTTCATATATGAAAACGAAAAAAGTAGAAAACAACTCCTTTTTTCGTTTTTTCGTTTTATTTGAAAAACGAAAAAAACGAAATTATGACTTGATTTTTGGTTTTCTCGTTTTTGCACGGAAATCAGAGAAACCACTTGATATTCCAATTTCCCCCTGTGGGTGGGGCTAAATCTGATTGGCATGAAAGGATTTCATTATTTTTCAAATTAAGAGTTTTCCAAACACTGTATTTGTTAGCCTGTAAAATTAATAGTCTATATGCATGCTATTTGTCACCCAATTATCTGGCTTCACTGACTGAAAAAATCTATTGAAATAGCCTAAATGTAAACATTTTCACGCATTGAAGTTGTCACGGTGGTTATCAAACAAAAGGCAGAATGGCCCTTCTTATTGTTTATATTGCATACCATCGCAATATAGGTTACTTTTGCCTTCCCTATACTCCTGCTCACTACAGTTTAGAGGATGCCTTTCAAGACAATCATTGGCAAACACCTACAGTAGTCAACCAGAATGCCTATTATCGCCGCAGAAAAAATAAACCAGTCGCATTTCAAGTACTTCGCGAAATGACCTCCAGGTGGCGCAAATGGATACTGTGGAAAACAGCAGCAATTGCCGCATTTTGAAATGTAAATGGGGTTAGTCAATTAACAGTAAGGATGAAAAACTACAACTATGGTAAACAGAATATATTTTTTTTTAGGCCAGAAAACGAGAACAATATACTATTTCATATTAGGCCTATCTAGACGTCGGTTGGCGACATAAGCCTCTTCCCTGGGGGAGCAGCGCGATAAAAAAAATAAAATAAAAAATAAAAATAAGGTGCAATGAAGCTGATTTTTACTATTCTATTAAGGAATGAATGAAGAACGCTTTTAGTCCAAAAGAGCGCACATTTAGAAAAAAATATTATGTTCACGTCTCATTGCTTTAGAGATAATTATTATTTCTATAAATTTGTTCACTAAATGATGTGCTCTCGAGGGGTTTGAGTGCTCTCTCCAGCTGCCACCACAATAGAATAAGCATAGGCCTATATGTCATCAAAATGGAGAAAAACAAAGAAAAAAAAAAAAAACCTTTAGGCGTAAGGAGTTCCCGTTTTATATAACACGAGCCTATAATATGTGAGTTATCACACCAGCAAAAGTGCTGATTTTCTGAACATCTGCACAATCGCAAATGGGAAATGATACAACAGTTCAATAAAGTTACTGAGTAACTTTTATAGGTAGCCTACCTGGCTACATTCTTTTTTTGCTCCGTCCAAGAAAACAGAACAAACAGCAGAACCGCTGCGCCTCCGGGCAACACGCGTTTTGTTCCTCAAAATATCTGCATTTTTGACAGAATCAGACGAGTAAATGATTCATGTAGACTACCCATTCATAAATACAGTCGTTTAAAAATCCTAATTCGCTTAACCTAACAATTGTTAGGTTAAGCGAATTAGGATTTTTAAACGACTCGTTTGAATAAAGGATTCAACTCCCTCATTAAGATGGAGACTTGCCGCCACCTACTGGCGCCTGGCGGTGTTAGTTTCATAGTTAAAAAGTAGACGTTTAATTTTTTTTCAATCATTTCATATTTCTACCTACAATTGTTTTACATTTAAAACATTAATCTCTTAACATAATTTATGCAATTATAATTTGCTGTGTAAATCATCATGCCATGTCTAAACAGCCTGTGTCAATCCAAAAATGTATTTTATTGATACCGACTTTCTTTTATTTGGTCATAGTAGCCATACACCGTGTCTTTGCATTCTGATTGAATTTGTTGACTAAATGTAAGAATCTGTCATAAGAGGACAGATATATGACAATGATCCTGCATTATATTGTATTATAATCACGATGTAATATTAGCCTACCACTAAACTTTGACTATATGCCTAGGCATGCTTATTACTTGTTCTAGGAACCTCAAAGCATATTTACATTTTTGTCTAATTTGCTACTCCGTCATGATGTTGTAGGGCCCAAACATTAACTCAAGCCCAGGGGCTCCCAGCCCCCTAAATCTTGCCCCCTAAGTCCTGTATGTGCATACAGGCCATACATAACAAATAGACATTATAAAAAATATATTATTCATGAGTATTTAAGTTAATAAAAACATCTAAAACAAAGAATAAATGTATTATTTAAATTTGTATAATGACAACTGTCAGTGCGTGAACATGCTTTTAGGCTTGAATTTAGGCTATTTCAATAGAATTTTTCAGTCAGTGAAGCCAAATAATTGGGTGACAAATAGCATGCATATAGACTATTCATTTTACAGGCTAACAAATACAGTGTTTGGAAAACTCTTAATTTGAAAAAACAATGAATGCATATCATGCCAATCAGATTTCGCCCCACCCACAGGGGGAAATCGGAATATCAAGTGGTTTCTCTGATTTCCGTGCAAAAACGAGAAAACCAAAAATCAAGTCATAATTTCGTTTTTCAAATAAAACGAAAAAACGAAAAAAGGAGTTGTTTTCTACTTTTTTCGTTTTCATATATGAAAGCAAAAACAAATGAACGAACGGGTCCGTGTACGTTTTGATAGTTTGTTTTCCAATTTGAAACGAAATAAGCAGAAACGAGAAAACGGGCCTTTATTAGTTTTTTTTCGTTTTTTCAAAAAAACGAAAAAACGAGATTTCGGCTTGATTTTTCGTTTTAGTTCACAGGCAAAAAACGAATTAATGACTTCAAAATTCGTTTTCCACATGTGGGCGGTCCTGAGACGCCCCCTTCCGCCGATTGGTCATGCAAATCTGAGCATGTGACGTCATCAGTCGTCGCTCAGGTCTGTTCAACAAAATAATAGTCCTAAAAAAAACAAAAATAATAGTCCTCTACTATGGCTACCGATTCTTAAACTGTACAGGGCAGGTGGGCTTAAGAGAGAGCAAGTACGAGCAGTTCGGTATCGATGTATCGATACTGCAGAAAATGAGTATTTGATCCGTTTCAGATTTTTCAGTATCGATACATATT